TGAGAATGAACTAGATGGACCCTAGATCACAGAATTTAAAAGAACAATTTGAAAATTCACCAAAGAATTCAACATGTTTAAAGAAGTTGTGATCAAATAGTGCAATGAATTTACATAATGAACTTAGAAAAAAAGCAATACTGAGTGGTGCCCCCCAAAACACAAACACACCTCTAGGTAAAATGCTGGAGGATATCCAGAATTTGAAACTAAGTTAAATAAAGACATTGAAAATTTGAGGACAACTCAAGCTGAAATAAATATTGAATTAAAAAACTCAACAGTCAATTAGAAGTCTCAGGGGAAAGTCCAACAACTAGTCAACTAGAAGAAAGAATTTCAGAGCTTGAAGATAAAGTAGAATTAGAAAGAAGGAGAATGGAAATAATATTCCACACAAATGGGACCAGGAAGCAAACAGGGGTCACTATCCTAATTGTGGATAAAATAGATTTCAAACCAAAACTTAAAAGAAGAAATGAAGAAAGAAACTTCATTTAAATCAAAGTAATGATTAATAAAAAGACAGCATAAGCCTCAACAAACATGCATCAAATTTTGACATACTCATTTTCATAAAGAACATATTACTGGAACTAAAGATGCAGATTAACTCTGACTCAGTAGTGTGATTTAAATATCCTCCTTTGTTCAGTAGACAGCTGATCTAAAAAAAAAATAGAAAAACACTAGAATTGAATGACATCAAATGGACCTAACAGATATATGTAGAGTATTTCATTCAAACACAAAAGAATATACATTCTACGTATCAGCTTATGGAATTTCTCTAAACTAGACCACATCCTGGGAAAAAATAAATCTTAATAAATTCAGAATATTTGAAATGATTTCATGTAACCTTTATGACCTCAATGTAATAAAGCTTAAAGTTGGCAATCAACCAATTAGTAATAGGTATACAAGCTAGTGGAGATTTAACAACATATTAATGAATTATGAAAAGGTCAAAGAAGAAATCAATAAAGGTATAAAATTTGTGGAATTAAGGAACATCAAGGAACCTCTTCAGTTTAAGCTTTCTCCCTCAAATGGACTAGAGACTTCACAAGATGAAGTTTTCTATGTAAGGAGTTTTTCTGGCAGAACACAATTCCTATTAACACAATGAAGCCCAAAAAAATTTCTCTTCAGTAGTGCTGATAGATTAATAATTATAGATATTTCCTCCAAACTAGTGTGAATTTTACCCTATCTGGAAATTCCTTATGGAAACAAATTAGTCCATTGCCCTTAAATTTAACTTCACTGGGTTCTTGAGAAATATGCAGAATGAAACCATATTATTGACCAAAATACTTCATGAATGACCCAAGTCCAATTCCTAATAGAGTTTTTGTTTCTCACTGAAACCTGCCCACTGTCCATATGTTCTTCAGCATTCTTGTCTTCTAATTTCCCAAAGAATAGACCACTAAGCCCTCCTTACAGTATTCATGGACCTCTTGCACATTTCTTCTGCAAACCCAAGAAGCATGTGGTCATATTTATCACAGCAGTGGAGCAGCACTTCAGGTACCAATTTCCCATATCATTTGTCTTTCGAGTTGTTATTACAATATACCCTAGAAAGATCAGCATAAGGGGGAAAGGATTTATTCTGGCTCTGTGGAAGAATATAGTCTATCATGGTAGAGAAGTCAAAGCACAGGAACTTTGGGGGCACTAGTCACTGGACATCCAGAGTCAGGAAGCAGAGAATGATGAGTGTCAGAGCTCTGCTTGCTTTTTCCTTTTTATGCAGCCAGGATCCCAGCCCACTCAACCCATGATGAGCGGGCCTTCCTGCTGTAACATAACCAAGATAATCTCTCATAGACAGGCCCAAGGCATTCCAGATCTCATCAAATTGACAGTTGGGATTAATCGTCACATCCCTTAAGGATTAGGGACATTAAAATCTTTTAGGGAGCTGGATATAGACATCATGTCTGGTTGTTTCCCTCTGAAAAAGGTTATAAACCCTGGACTTAGAGATGTTCAATTATTACTTTTTTCTCAGTGTAGCTTGGGCAGCCCAGGCTCCTTTTATAGAGGAGGTGGCTATAAGGCATAACTGTCCTTTATCCCAAAGTCATCATCACTTGTAGTTTCAGGGTCTGGAGACCAGAAGACATCAAGTGGTACCAGGAAGTTAAGTGAATATGGGTTCACATAACACAAAATAAAAAGAGCAAGAATGGAGTTACAGTCCCCTGGTGTGACATGACCAGCCAGTTAAGTCACATGGGTTTCCTCTCATTTGATCTGCTGCAGAGACTGATGTCTTGGGATCCAGTCTTGGCAGAGACCAAAATCTTTGTTGCATGATAATTTGTTGAGTTCTAGAAGAAACAAGAAGGATTCCTCATTCATACAAGCAGGGAATAAAATTGCAGAAGAAACTTAGCAATGTTAAGTGGCTAAGAGGGGCCATCCATGGCCTTGCCCACCCAAGCAAATGGGTGGAAAAGCTGACAGAAGAAAAAAGCAAAGCATTGGACCTGGCCAGAAGGAAATGTTTGTTCTATTGGGAAAGAGAGTAGGAAAGTAAAACCATGCTGTGTGATAGGATGGTTGGGTGAGTAGGGCATTCTTTTTCTCTGGAAGCCCTGGTGCAGAATGGGAGAATCAAGATGGCAGAGGGACAGAGAAATCATCTGTTGGCTACACAGTAGCACAGTGGTACCCTGAGGCTTACTCTACTGTCTGATCTTGAGAGTCATTGACACACAGGTAAAGTACCTTTCAGGGAGGTAAGTTCTGGCTGACACTAAGCAGCAGCCTTTTTCTTACTCCAGCATGAAGTTAATCTGATGTTTCCACTTAGGTGTTCAACCAAGAAACCACCCCAATGATCAAGCTCATGACACAGCTGTCTTCTCTTGAACTTCCTTTAGCCTTCCTACCCTCTGCTTACTGTGCCCTCCTTCAAGATGGTTCCTAGCCAACTACTATGCCAATCTGCTGGCACCCATCTCTGTTATAGCTTGGATATGAATGAATACATAGTGTGCAATGTTTTCTTTGTCTTCTTTCCTTGGCTGCATAGAGAGACTCTGTTTCAACGTGGGGAGGGAGGATAATGCATGTTGTTGCTTCTGTTGACAATTCCTTCCCACTTTATCTTTTCACAAACATTTAAAATGCTTCTAATTATTATCTTTTACAAATAAAGCTGCCATGAGGCATCTACATACACATCTTTGTATGAACTGATACTTTATTTACCTTTAATAAATATTCAGTGGTAGAATAACTGGATCATATGATAAACCTTATAACCTTTAAGAAGGTCCCAACATGTTTCACAAAGTGACTGCACCCTTGTTCATTCCTGTGAGTGGCAGTTGCTCCACACCCTGTCCCCAGCCAGTATTTAGGATCCTAAGACTCATCAGTTACTTTTATCTATCTTAGTACATAGTAATTTCCCCACTATGAGTTCACTGTGTGTCTCTCCATAGTTTTACAGAGTAGGACATTTTTCATGAACTTATTTGCAATTCACACTTGTCCTTTATTGAAATTTCTGTTTAAATGTGTACAAGTGGATTTTCAGTTGGACTCTTAGTTTCTTCTATCTTGAGACTATATAAATATTTATATATTCTAATAGTTGATCAGATATTTTGCAAAACATTTCTTCAATATATAATTTGTCTGTATTTACAATACTTTTAAAAACATACCTTTTTTTGAGACAGGGCCTTGCTGTATAGCCCAGGCTAACTTGGTATACTATGTACCTCAAGCTGGCCTTAAGTTAGTGGCCATTCTCTTACTTCAGCTCTTTAAGGACTGAGCTAACAAGTCTGTGATACTACCTGACTAAGTTTGGGTCTAGCCTGGTCTATCATGTTATAGATTCAGCTTGTTTGATGTCAGATTTGTTAATTTTTTGCTCCTGCCAGTGTCATAAAGTTGCTCTCTTCTACTGCATTCTGTAAATTATATGTTTGAGATTCCTATTAAAGTTGGTAATTCAGTGCGGTACGTTTTTGTATATGGCATGAGGTATAGGTCAAAGTTCTTTCTTTCTTTCCTCCTTTCTTTCATTTTTCTTTTCTTTTTAAAAAGAGTATCTACCTGAATTATTTTTGGTCTTGCTGAATATTACCAGGTTGCTTTCTAAAACACTTGTTCCATTTACACTTCGGCAAGTATGCATCAAGGTACCTGCTTCCTTGTCTTTCAGCATTTGCCTCTTAGAAAAAGGTGACATTTTTCAATTATCTTTAACAAATAGTGAAATGGAACATCATCTCTTGTTTTAGAGCCATTAGCCTTTCCGTCTGGAGTCTTTTATGTCCTCTGTTATTTTTCCACCGGAGGACATTATTTTTCGGTATGTTTTAGCTGATTAACTTAAAGGTTAAATTGTATTTGGTGCTTTAATGGAACATCATCTCTTGTTTTAGAGCCATTAGCCTTTCCGTCTGGAGTATTTTATGTCCTCTGTTATTTTTCCACCGGAGGACATTATTTTTCGATATTTTTTAGCTGATTAACTTAAAGGTTAAATTGTATTTGGTGCTTCAAAAATATGTAAGTCTTGGTTGTAAAAGTTATTTTACATTTTAGCACACTGTAATTGTGTTGGGGAGTAAGGCTCAACAACTTTATTTGAAAACTGTTGCTCAACTGAACTTGGAACTTGGAGATCCTGATCAATCTTAGCCACTAATTAAACTGTCAGCCATTTATGACCGACTAGGCCAAATAGTGAAGACACTCAACAGACACAGTGAGACTATGCCATCAGCTGCCTTGATTGAAATGGATTTAACTTTACTTTTTGATCTCTATATTTCCAGAATGAAATTATGCAATCCAGACACCAGGCTCCAGTCAATCAAATGTGCATGGGTTTTCAGTACCCACGTTTCCTACTGTGGTCTCTTGAGAGAACTGGAGCTGTTTAGCCAATGTGTGACTCATGGCAGTTTTGTCCTTTAACGTCAACAGGCAGAATTAGAATGATTTCATGATATGAACACTTAAATTTAATTGTGCCTTTATTGATAAGTTTAATAAAACCAATTAATTCTTCTTTTATTAAAATGAAAACAAACCACACATTTTATTAGAACAATTAAAATTCTTTCTTCTAGGCAGTTACCACCCTTGGTGACTACCTTCAACATCCAGTGTATGTATGTATTTCTATTAACTCCACAGCACTCTAAGAGACCCGCTTGGGAAGTACAATGACTTAATCACTAAATTTCCAATAAAAAATACTCCATCTCCTGTGGCAAATTATGGAAAATTTCACAGCCATTATCAAAGTTATAGAACCAGTTTTGTGAACCTCCATTTTGCCTAAAGATCTTGTACAGTTATAAAAAGAGCCTGTTGCATTTAATGTTTTATATCTTTGTTAAGAGAACAACTTCTAAGTGTAACAAAAGACTGGTTATACAGAGAATGTGAATTGTATGTATTACTATTATTAAATGCCGAATTTTCATTGTTTTTCTGTATCTCTTTTTTCCTAGTATGCAACGAAACACTTGGTCTTTCACATTGTTGCACATCTTAATTGTCCAAGTAGGGAAGAAACCACAGTACCCTCTGGGGAGGTCAGGTAATGAAAGCCTGTCTGACCTGATGGAGCAGAGAACTAAATCAGGCTTGAAATCCTGGCATCAGTCCTGCAGACAGGATGCTCCCAGAGAATGAGCATAGCTTACTTGAGGCCTTGAAGGCTTCCGAAGCAGATGGGGTTTTCACCGTAGCTGGGAAGGTGGGGTCTAGCAGTGGGCTCCATGTTTGTTTCAGCAGGTGATTCTGAGTGACAGGTGTGGGTTGAGAGCTGATAACCTACACAGGAATCTGTAAAAAGAAAGAATGAAGCAAGAGTCCTTTGGGAGGAGGGAACCCTTTCCTCCCCAACTCACTTTTGGTCATGGTGTTTATCACAGAAATAGAAACTTAACTGGAACACACAGTCCCTACAAAATAAAGGCAGGGCCATAGTCTTAGCAGCATCGACTACAGCGACTCTCCCTTATAAACCTGTTCACTTTTTTTGTTTTGTTTTGTTTGTTTTTCATCCACCCAATGCTTCTTCCTGTTTCCTTGTTGGAAACTTTTTTGTTGTCTTTTTCATAACTTATTAGAATTTTCCATTGTTTTTTTTTATTTTTCTCATTTATTTTTCTTCCCAAATGTTCCTGTAAGTTCTTAACTTCTACTACTAATTCTGAGCTACTGATCTTATCCTCTGCAATCTCATTCTTTTAGCATCCTCAGACACCCACTGGCCAGTCTTGTGAATGCTCAGCTTTTATTGAATGCAACACAAACCAGAGACTTTAGATGCTTTTTGGCAGTCCTTGGGCACACAGCATCTGACTCTACCCAGACTCCATTCATGGGGAGTCAAGCAGATGGACCTTCATTCTTGTGGCTCAAAGGGCAGTAGGGTAATTCAGAATTAAGTAAATTGCCACAAAATAATTGTTCCAATTTTGACAGTGGTAAGTAAAATGTGCTGTAACTGAGCCTACATTGAACACTTAAGAAAGATTCTGCAGGAGTAAATTATTCTCAGTCCACAACCTCTGAAGAATACACTCTTGGACTCCTTGCCAGGTCTCTTCGGGCCTGTCCTATCTTATTCATTCTTGCAAGAGATTTCTTTTGGCAGCTTTGAACAACAAAATTATCTGATTTAGAAGATTCAGTGGAATGGCTGCTGAAGAGAAGTTTTTGATAAATCCAGAGGCTGTTTCGTAACCACGAAAACATGTCCTTGTAAAATTCTTATGTTGGCCTTGTAAAATTCTTATGTTGGGCTCTTTTGAAAGACATCAGGATTGCGAAAAGTGTAGGCGATATTCTAGAAAAATTCTCAAAATTAGCTAGCTATCATTGGTTAAAATCAATGTTTTAATATAAGTGGTCACTTTATTTATTAGGCAAAAGAATCTGAACACTTAACTCCCTACCATTTCCCTATGGGTAAAGTGGGTCATTCTGTTAGTTTCACTATTCAATAAACAAGTCAAATGAAGATCCATTGTGGATACTTTGTTCCTGTAGTAACACTGGAGAGGAGGCATAGAGACTGACTCTGAGTTTGGCTAAGGAGAAATGCACCATTCAGTGTGAGGCCTCCAGGAGTGGGAGCAAGGGTGCTAGACAAGCACAGAGAAAGACACGAGGCTGAATTACAATGCATGTGGCTCTCTGGGCATGGGGCCACTCAAGTCACTTATGGACATTATTTCACCACATAGGTGGCAGTTTATAGCACACCAGAAAAGTCAGGTGAGAAGATAAAATCAGAGTGTTTAAATCCACTACCAAATTATTGTCATCCTGTAACTCCTCTTTCTTTTTGAGACAGTCTTCCGTAGCTCAGAATAGATTGGAATTTACTTTGTAACCTGGGTTGATCTTGAGTTTCCAGAAGCTTCTACCGTTTATCTCCATAAGGTTGGGACAGTGGTACTTGCCGTCACACCCAGGCACTAGCCTCATTTTCAGTTCTCAGTAAGTGACATGACTTATCCCTAGTTTACAAGAACAGTGGTTTTTCACAGAGAATACCAGGTTTTGCAACTAACTGGGACTTCCCTCAGGCAGCATCCACACTGCTCAGTGCCTCTGTCTTAACAATGAGTGGCAGTTCTTTTCATGCTCTTTCATAGTCTATGCTGTGGGAATTAGCTAAAGTCAAGGATTACATGAACTGTCAAGATACCTGAAAACAAGGAAGCTCTCCTGCACACTTTCTGTAATTTTTCTCTCCTGTTCCTGATGTAGGGAGCAGAGCAATTATTGCAGACAAAGCCTAGCTCAGTACAGTGAATATGCTTGTTACAATGTAAGCCAAGAGATTTCCTGTTTGTAGATTTTTTTCAAAGATGTCTAAAATATCAGAAAGATCTAATCAGTGCTTTTGTTTAATTTTAACCTTTCTTGATCTTCACCGAACTATTTTAAGTAATTCCACAAAGATGCCCCCTCTCATTTTATCCTTGCCAGATAAAATGGGAATGTTTCTCAACACTGTTAAGTCAGCTCACCCTCCTCCTGACACTACCCTGGACTGTGGCACTGCTCCAGCACCTCAGGGATAGCCTGGCAGCTTCTTCTTTGACAAGAGGAAAGCTGGCCTCCATGCTCAGTGGGTACACTGGTGGGACTCCTCTAAATGAGGAGAAATCACAGAGCAGCTTCATGGAGGAAGGTCATGAGGTTTCCAGTGCAGTCAGCTTTGAGCCAGCGGTGCTCAGCTAAGAGTATGGCCCCATTGGTATCACAGAGCAGAAAAGAAGCCTGGCCAAGCCCTAGCCAAGTGTCTGATAAGAAGCATCAAGAAAAAGGAACCACTGCTCTTTGTGTGACTAAATTTGGGAATGACTTGTTACACTGGAAGAGATGGCTGAGGTACTATCATTAAAAGCCTAGAAGACCTACCATAGATGACTAAGGCCAGTTGGGTGACTTGATCTGTATACTCATAGCCCAGCACCCTGGAGGTTTTTCCTTCTGTAGCCTGTGGTCAGAGGGAAATGACTTTCATGACACCACCTGCAATATGTTCTTTTGTATGCAAAATGTTTGAAATTCTGAAAAGGGAGAATACTACCTTCCAAATGCCTCTTTGAGTATAAAATTCATTTGCAAAACAGGGAGAAAATTTTACCTAACAACAGGTTTGCTTTTATATGCCTACATATCCCGACACCCCCCCAGAAAATTAAAATACTGTATTTAATGTTCCTAGATATTTATTCATGACTATCAATTATGCATTTTTGTAATATTTTGTAGTTGATTCTAACAATGATATTTTCTAATTATTTTAGCCATTGTAAAGTTGGTGAAATGTAAGATGGACAAGACCATGACTTTTGGTCATAAAGGTAACTTCACACTCTAAGTAAGCACAAGTGTGCAGGCTGTATCAGAGTCTTGAATACCCAAATTTCTATTGACTGTATCTACTTTGTGTGGCTCAGATTCAAACAGTCATTAGGTCCACAGAGAAGGCATGTGCTCAGAGGCCCTTTTTTTCTTTCATCTATCTATCTATCTATCTATCTATCTATCTATCTATCTTCTTAAGACAAAATCTTGCTATGCAACCCTGGCTGGCTATGTACACAAAGGTAGACTCAAACTCAAAGAGATCCACCAGCCTCTGCCTCCTAAAAATTGGGATTCAAGACCATGTCTGGGCAGAGAACCTATTTCATTTACTCCATCACATTGGCTTTGGTGTCTGCCCCTTCCCAACATTAATCAGCTAGTTCCTTTTGTTCTTGTGAGCTTACTTTATGTTGAGATGTGCCTTCTTGAAGCAGGCCAAATTGCTGATTGAGCAACTGTCCACAGAGGATGAATGATGACTTGGTTCTGCATTCTTCAATTTTCTTTGGACATTTTCAAGTCAAGTGTATAGCAATGCTAGAAAATCTGACTTCTTTTAGAGTTGCATAGCTATTGGGGCAACAGACAAATGTTCAGTGGCTGGAACTTTATCCCCTGAAGAAGTCTTCAATTTATTTGTCTTCCATTTTCTATCTGGGTTAAGTGCTACCGGTCAAGTAAGGTCATGGAAGCAGGCCTGATGCTATGGGATGCTCCTTCAGGCAGAGCCAGTTCCTGGGAGTACACCTCTTGCTTCTGATCTCTTGGTTGGTGGGGTTTTTCCTTTTTTTCTGCTTTCCTCATCCTACTGTGTCTTTTCCCCATTGGCCTCTTTTTATTCTATTTTACAATATAAATGCTTCTAAAACTAATGGATAATGACACTTTTATTAGAAATTCCTGTAGTTTTGTGAAGCAGTGAAATCAGAGAAATGACAGAAACTGAATGATTCAGTTAATATAATCCCCACAAGGTCATCATCTGCTAACTTTGGTATTTCCTCTTTCAGATCTAACAGTGTCCAGTACCTAGGGGACATCCAGCTAGTAATTTTTTGTCAAATTATTGCTGTGATGAATAATTTATCTTTACTTTTAGCACATCACAAGGTCACACATTGTTTACCTGAGTGAGTTTTGATACACGCTGTTAATAGATTTTTGTAAATAAAAGCACAGGTGGAAAAGTTAAAGTCCATGTTGATATGTTTATTTTTAATGATTATAAGTCTGTGTGTACTGGCCTAGCTATTTGAGTAGAAAGTTTTACTCTACATTACATGCACCATCATTTGAATATTACTTGGGTATGCTACCCTCATTGGTGTTGAGCTTAAACAATCATCGTGGAAGTCACATTACTGCCATGTGTTAGTGTTCTGGAGGCTGAGGCAAGAGGGACACAAACCCACAGGCTTCAAACAACAGGGCCTGCACTCTCATAGAATTGAGAGTCATGAGCCTGTCAGCAAGTGCCACACTTCCTCCAAAGTGTCAAGTGAAAACTCACACCTCTGCCTGAGTCCCCAGGCTTGCACAGCACTCCCTCAGTCTCTGCCTGCCTGTGTTTCTCCTGATCTCTTCCCCTGGGACCAACAGTTCAGTGCTGACACATAGTAAGGAAGGCCTCAAAACGCCAGAAAACGCAGTGTTTGGGGTCAGATTATGAATTCTGAACTGATGTCATTCTTCCCAATTAGGGACACTCTCTGGGATAAATGTAGCTCAATTAACACCTTAAGAGTTTCCACAGGCACTGTCAACATGAATCTAAATTCTGTGAGAAAATGCAAAGATTTTAAAGTGGCCAAACTCTCTTGAAGGGAGATCATAGAACAATTCTATAGCCATAGTCATCAAGACACTCTGATCTGGGTCTAACCGAAGACAACCAGGTCAACCGAACATGGCAATATTCAAAAATGAACTTTTGACAAAAATTATAAGGGCATTCCAAAGAAACAACATTGCTCTTCATAGCAATTGGTGCTGGAAAATTTTGATGCTGGTGTGCAAAAACTTTATTTTTAAAAAATAAATCTTTAAAAGAAATCATAGACCTATATGTAAAGCCTAAGACTAAAATTGCAAGAAGAAAACAAAATATATTTTTGCTGACATCAAATTAAGCCAAGATTTCTTATCACTGGCATGGGTTTAAAAAACTGTTAAAGATAACATTGGAAAACTCTCTTTGATAGACAAGAAAATGAAAATAGAGATTTTTCAAACTGAAAGAAAACACTGTAAATCATTTATGGTAAAAGTCTTATATGCTGGATATAGAATCTTCAAAAATTCAGCAATAATAAAACTGACACTCCAATATGGACATCTCACCAAAGTACATAGACAGATGCATAATTTCCTGGAAACACAGTGTTTAGTCATTAAACCACAATGAGACTGTGTGAGTTGTAAAAGACTAATGCAAGGGTTGTCAAGGCTGGGGAGCAACTTTAGGAATAAGAAATAGTAAAACTATTTTGTGAAACAATACAGTAATTTCTTAAGAAATTAAGTATACTATTCCATTTTTATCCAGCTATTCTATTTCTACTTGTTCAAAGTAATGAAAGCTTACATCCACAAAAGACATATATACTAGAGTCCATAGCAAATTCATATGTAACAGCCCAAACACAGGAACAAGCATGCTGTCCTCCAAGGTGAGTGGCTCACCAGTTTGTGGCATGTCTCTATAAAAGCAGACGTTTACTCCGCATTGGTGCGTGCGCTCAGCATCGTGGATAGAACTGGAAAGAACTTTTACAGAGTAAAAGGAACCAGATTAAAAATGGAGCATGAGTATTTTAAATGTTTTTAAATTAAAAATGGACTGTTGTTTTTAATATTGAGATGAGGGATTGATTACAAAAGAGACGCAAGATACTTTTTTCTTATTTTGATACGGTGACGACTTTACAGGTAGACACTGACCAAAATCCATCACAGAACACACTTTAAGTACATGCATGTTAGTGTTGCATATAAATAAATGCATTAAAACACACATACATATGGACCTGATAAGCTGGGAAATTAGGAATAGGCCAGTGGATTGAAGTTCTTACCTTTTATTTCTTCAGCAGGCACCTCTAAAATAAAATTCTAGTCAGTTTAAAACACATCCAGACCTCCTTCACCAAACCAATTTCGGACAGCAATTGAAGGAAAGTTTTAGTCATAAAGCGCACTTTAATTTGTGATAGGGGAAACAGAAAGAAAACCAGAATTCTGGCCTTAAGGGGTGGTGAGGGGAAGGTGGGGCAACCCGGCAAAGAAAACAGACTAGAGTGTGGCAAGAGCTTGGATGCAGGGAGGAGAGGTCTCCTGCAACGACAAGAATTCTTTAGGCACGTGGCTCCAAGTGAGTTAAAATGCCACAAGGGAGGCCCCGTTGTAAGCCCCTGCTTTGCAGGTAAGCCCAGGAAGCTGGCACTGCCCACTGGCACCAGCCACCCTCCTTCCCCAGGCGAGGCGTTCTGCTCTCTTTTGCCCCCTGGTGGCCATCACCAGCGAACCCGCAGTGTTGCCTGGGGTAAGGTGTGCGCAGTAAAGCTCTTGGGGGGGGGGGTGGCGGCATGCAAGCTGCTGCAGAGTCCGCGTCCTGCCCATCCCCAGCTGGGTCACCCGGGCTGCGCACCTGGCTTATACTGCCCTGCTTTCAGGTCCTGAGGACCACACCTGGGGGGAAGAAGCTAGATTATAAGGTTACTAACCCCTTCCCCCACCCCCAACCCCGGGACTCAGGTCAGAACTCCCATCGGTTTGAAAAGGAGGGACGCAGCAAGGCGCTGACCTCCTTTAAGGGAACCCTCGCCCAAAGGGTCCCAACCCTCAAGTTACAGGGGACAGCAGACGCAGTGAAACCTCCTCCCTCATAAGGCAGCGATTGTCCCAACAGCGTCCACTCCTCCCCAGCTTGCCCCATATGTTGTCACGCCCGTCTGCACACGCTGTCAAAGGCTGGAGGCCATTCCTTGTCCCACTACCCCAGCAGTCCAGTAGCCCGAAGTAAGGAATCCATCAGCGGGGGGCGGGCGCATGTGCCCGGGTCACAGGAGGCCGTTCCGAGGAGTGGCCTCTAGCCCACACCTCTGCCTTCCACCCTAGAGGAAACGGAGTGACTGGCAGGAGTGGAGGCAGCCACAGCCCCGGAGGGCACGGGTGTGCTGAGACTACTACACCGCCGGCGCCGAGGGCTCTCCCACTAGACGGCGCGGTGTCCGTCAGGGTCACCCACTGTCTGTGCGCTCAACGCCCAGGTCCCGATCCCGGGGTGGCGGCAGACCCAGTCCCCTCCCCGCTGCTGCCCCGGGGCTGCAGCAGCCCGGAGCGCCACTTGCGAGACCATAGCGGCTTTGCTAGGACTGGCTC